AAGGCAAGCGATTGTCCAATGTTTGAGGCCTTGTTCACACCAAATGCAGAGCAGATCCGCTCAGGTTTCTGCACACGCAGTGCAGTGGGTTGGGCCGCGTTCTTGCCGCGTTTTTGATGCGTTCCGGGACGTTTTTGGTTAAAAAAAAAAAAATGATTGTTGTTTTTTTTGTTTTTTTTAGTTTAACATGGGCTTTCAGTGCGTTCCAGGCATTTACATGCGTTTTTGATGCATTTGCATGCGTTCCAGAGCAGGTAAAATAGGGCTTCAGTTTTTTCACCTGCTGTGGATCCGCACGCTGCGATGTGAACTGGAGCAAAAAATACCAGTGGAATACATTGGATGCAGTTTTGATCCGGTCTGCAACTGCTCTGCTCTGCACCTGCTCTGCGCTTGGTGTGAACAAGGCCTAAGGGACAAATGATATGTAGGACTGGTCCATTTCCAATAAGGGGGTTCTTAGGATTGCGTAACAGCTCACTCATTGGTTCATTGTGTGTAGTATGTTAAAAGCCCCAAGACTGGAGAGAGCACAGAACAATATTACAGCTTCTGTTTGTATGCTGCAGGTTATGATGTGGTTCATGTTAATAAAGAGGAAGTGGCAATTATGGCTTTATATAATAACAGTGTGAAGTGAAGGGAAATCTCTTGAATGGTATACAGATGGTTACAAAAAAATCATGGGAACCATTTTACACCTAATCTTAAATAAAAACATTTTGGGTTTACTTACAGGGTTATTCACTAGAGTGAAGAGTTTGGAGAAGGCAGGAGAAGTGAACAATCTAGGACAACATAGCTGATTTGGAAACATTCTCCAATTCAGCTCACTTTCCAGTTCAGCTATGTTGTCCTAGATTGCAGTAGCGTCACAAGGGAGGGTGCGGTCCGCTCCCGGATGCCACCATTGGAAGGGTGACACCAAAATGACTGGCAGTCATTTTGGTGTCACCCCCTATGAAAAGTCAGATCGAGAGCCCGACAGTGTTAGGAGAGAGGAGGGGACCCGGCGGCTCCGCTCTCTGCCGGCATCCATCACCAAGATGGCTGCGCATGCATGCGCGATGACGTCACGGTGGGGTGTCACCCGGTCTCCGTCCTGGGTGACACCCATCCTCGGGACGCCCCTGCTAGATTGTACTTTTGTGAATAACCCTATAAGTGTTTGACTGCTATGAGTTTCAACCCATTCTTATTTAAAAAAAAAGATCTTAGAGCAGGGGTGGGCAAACTTTGGCCCTCCAGCTGTGGTGAAACTACTAATCCTAGCATGCATCTGTCTCTGGGAGACATGCCTCTGGCTGTGAGAATCTTGCAATGCCTCATGGGACTTGTAGTTCCACAACAGCTGAAGGGCTAGAGTTTGCCCACCTCTATCTTAGAGGGATTACTACTGCTGATAATTAATTCTATTGCCTTTGCATGACTATAAATCTTTGTTAATGTTGAAAATGTGTCTTTTTACCCAAACTCATTATGGTTTCAGAAGTTGAACCCTGCAAGGTATAATTATAGTAAGTGGCAGTGACTTAATTAGGAGGTGCATAGTGCTCTTTGAAAGCATAGTGGCAGCGTTATCCCTGCTGGGCACAATGATCAGAGGTGGTTGTTTTAGCCATATTACCTTACTTCTTGTTAGAATAGAGTGATGTTGAGTAATTCTTATTTGATTGTAGTGCCACAATGCAAATGTGCATATGCTTAACAAAAAAAGTGTTGGCGTCACCAAGTCATTTGTATGTATGTATAGCGCCTATGTCATTTTACTACGTTCATGTACAGGCTCTGAAATCTCATTCACATGACACATACTCAAAAAAAAAAAAGCTGTGCTGTGTGACTGGGCTCCAGATGTGCTGACTGTCTTCATATGCACAAATTGTAACTTGTTTGACTGTAATTGATGGCCTATATATGAGTTTTCATTCAGACATGGCTGTAACGGTGGAGCTATTGTAAGGAGCATGGAGAATATCTTCAGAATGTCAAGAAGAGCCTTCTAAGGGGAAGTAATGCACATGAGGGAAGCTGCTGTTGCCTTTTCCTTGTATTGTAACTATACGCTGTCTTGCAGGTTGAGAGGAGCGCCATGCGTTTAAAGAGAAATATCAGAACAGTACAAAGATACAAATCTGTTTATTTAAGTGGTGTGGTATTCAGAAACTGTTACTCAAAAGTAAGGCCGGCTTGGTCAAGTGTTTTTCTTAAAATAGAACTGTGGGCAAAATGGTTCTTAAAGAGAAACTTTACCCATATCTTCAAAATAACAACAAAGGCACCTTTAGAAATGTTTAGTAATGGCAATCTACAAACACATACTTCTAGATCATTGCCGGCTTTGTATTTAATAAGTGTAGCTTATTTTTCTTTTCTTCCCCAATCTTCAGACAGTGGCAATTTTAACTAAGGGCAGGTGATAGATCTCCATTTACTTTCTGGAACTCTGGCACATGTGACTAGAACATGTGACCATGCACCTCATCTCAGGGGAGGAAAATGCCTTTCACTGAGATGAGATTTCCCAGCAATGCTCTGCTGATGTAACCTTCCCAGGATGCAATGCTTGTGCAGTATTACATCATGACTGTAAGATAATTTCATATCAGCATGCAGAGCTGTATGCTGTCACTTTTAGTCAAAAGGGGTAAAGGTCTACCTTAACCCTTGCAGTTGGGCTACCCCCGCACTGCAAAGATTAAGTGCTCATTTTTGTCTAGGTGCTAAAAAAAAAAAGGTTTTACTTACCTAT